AAAAAAAAAAAAAAAAAAAAAAAAAAAAAAAAAAAAAACACATCTTAGTAAAACCAATACCTTCTCAGCTTCGCATCGAAGCTAATAAGTACATTGAACACTACGTAGAAAATTTAACATCCATTAAAAGAAAATCTTATATTTTGGAGAAAAAAAAATTGTAATTAATTATTTATATTGTCACAATTATGCATATTTTTGAATATTTACATATATTTTTAGTGAGATTTCATAATTAATATTCTGATAAGAATTAAATAAGAATATGAAAGATTTTTAATTTTTCGAACATAACTTATTTTGTAGTATTGTTCGAATATTATTTTGAAAAAATTTTAATTTTTCAAGGATTCGTTGATATATTTTTTTATTTTTTACTTTGTATATAATAATTTATGTTCTGATAAAAAACAGAGATTTAAAAATTACAATAATTATTTATTATAATAAGAGTTATTATATAAAATTTTTAGTTCGACTAGTAGTACAAAATAATAATCATTTAAAATATACAAGACAATTTTATTGTCAATTACGTTTACAACAGTAGTGTATCTGAGTTATACCAAATAATAATGACTTTGAAAATAATAACTATCAAAGTAATATGTATTCTTTCTATATTGTCTAGACTTTCGTTGTCTAAGGTAAGTTAGATAAAGCTAATACAAATACTTTAGATAAAAATCTATTTTTATCTTACGAGCAGGCGATTTAATTCATAGAACGACTTTTGGTGTAAATTATTTTAATTTTATTAAAATTCAAATAAACATGTATTGAAATAAAAATATTTAAAAATATTCTACTTAATTTTTCAGTATCTAATTATTTCAAGTTTTTATTAATTATAAATTGAATATGTCATTAAATTCATTATAAAGATAAATATTTTATATTTGTTAAAAAAAAAAGACCTCCATGAATATTTTACTCGAAACTAAAATTGTAATATTTATTATTCTTTAAGTATAATTATTAACGAAGTGAGATTATGACATGAATTTTGCAACTATGTATAATTATGTAGTTTTTTATGTAGGACATATTGGTTCAACCTATACGTCACGTACTCCAAATTACTGACCTAAGTTTAAAAATTAATGAAACAGTTGGTAAGTTAATTCACTTAGATCATAAACACTACATGGATAAAGAAATAATTGACATGGACTTGATAATTTATGATAATTTTTTATTATATTATGTAAGTAAAATTTTTTATAACTAAAAATATAACCGATATTATAACGAAATGAAAAAATGTCAGCATAGTCGGATTAAGTATACATGTTATCTGATAGCCATTAACATCACTATCATTAAAAACGCTTCGATTCTAATCTGTGAATTTTTTTGTTGAAATAGTGCATTTTAAAGTCAAATTATTCAAAAATTGAAAATAAAGTAATTTTTTTTACTTTGACAACCAATTTTCCACAATAAAACAATAGTCTGAAAATTTTGTTTTTTTTTTAACAAAGTAGCTCATATTAAAAGCGTTTTTATGATAAAAGTTAAATTTTATAGAACATTCTAGAATATTTTCAAAAATTGAGTTAAAAAAAAAACAATAGGTGTTTTATTGGAAAGCATACTATAAAAAAACTTATTGTATTTTCTGTAATTTATTATAATTACGATAGGATAGGTGTTTTAAAAAAATGTAATTGAATTTTTTAAATTAAAAAAATATACATTTTTATGGCAGTGTAACTTTGAAATATTTTTTTAATTTCTAAAACATTCGAGTGCTCAACCTTTTTACTGTTTTATTTATCAATTTACTCTAATAGATGCCAAAATAATGGACAATATTGTTGATAAATTTGAATATTTTTTTTTCTTTTATAAATCGCTATTTTTAATTATAATCATCATTAATTGTAAGTATTAGAAATATTATAAAAATAAGTAATTTTTTACATATTTTTATTGACTTTATATGCCTATACCTGTTTTCAAGATATTATGACCAGTGATATAATTAGGATTTCATCTTGGGGGAAGGACAAGACACCCAAATCCCCCCATAATTATGTTAATGATGTTATATTATACATTTTTGTGTTAATTATTTTTTCAGTATAACTCAAGTATAATAAATTAAATATTGTCTCTTGATTTTTCTATAAAATTGTGATTTACATAAAACAACACTATTTCATGTTAGTTTTTATAAATGGGTAATATAAATGTTTACAAAAAGTGTAGGAAAAAGTGTTTTACTCCACTCTCTCACAATGAAAAGATTTTTCCAAATAATTATTATAACTTATCAATATTATATTCTCACCCTTTTAATATGTCTTTGAACTATGCATTTTTTAGTAGACTTAATCTTAGGAAAAAAAATCCTCAATATAATTTTGTCAAAGACGACCTTAATTAGAACTAAACTAATTTGTGAGAAATAACTATTATATATGTGTAGTCCAATGACAGGGCTAGAACTCAAAATGTAGAACAAAATGTAGGGAAGAGGGGTATCATACAAAATTTGTTATTCGTCACAAACATTTCATAATAAATAAAGAATATAAAAAGTTTTTATCTAATATGTAAATTGTCGACTGTAAATATTTATTATGGAGGTCTTACATTTCAATACCACTCAAAGATCTATTCTGTTACCACCAATTACAATTTCTCTTAAAGTCTGACAATTGAACACAAAAAGTGTTATTATTTCAGCATTTTTAATTATATTTAGACATTTGTTTAGTTCACTTTTAATATTTGAAAATATTATAAAAGTTATTTACATACATTTAAAAATTTATTTATTTTTGAAAATATCATTTAGTTTAAGCAGATGCAGCTTTCAATAAATATTAAATTTTGGAGTAATTACTATTTAATTTTATTGGAAGCTCTTAAAAATTATTGGAAATGCTTAGGAACATTTTAATATAGCTTGTGATTCCACAAAATATTATATAATATAATATAATAAATTGATTTATTGAAAATTTACGTTAATGTTGACTACTCAATTATGAGCAATTTTTAAAAGCTTTTATTCGACTTAATTTATTATTTTACGGTTATAACAAGCAGTTGTTTAATCATTATAGGGTCGTATAGATCTTATAAAGTGTAAAGAATATTTTCTCAATTGTATTATTTGGAAATCATATGACATATCAAATTTGTGCGAGAATGTTACACGTCTTTTACATTTTGTAAAAATCGGATACATAAATCGTGAGATAAGATGTCCATTTCGAGTAAGTCTATTATAACATACGTAGAGTTTGAGACTTAATACATTTATGAAATTTGTTTGGACCACTTCTGAGACAACAAACTCCATAAAAATGTATCATAGATGTAAACAGTGTCACAGAAACTTTTGTTATTGTGGAGAAAGTGATCCCACAACACCCATCAAAACTAAAATCCTAATTAATATACATTGAATAGGACTAAAAAAAAAAAACATAAATCTATCATTGATTTATTCAGTATGACTAAATTAAACTTTATATATATATTAAGTCCCGAAACCCTAAACACGAGCGTATGAAGATAAGGTTTGTTTTGCTTTATTATTACGATTTTCATCATCATTTAAATGTTAAAAACTGAAATACCATAATGAAATCACATTACTTAAATAATTCAATTATTACTTTTGTAAATTCGTTATGACAATAAAGAAATTATTGTTATTCAAATTTTTAAACGATTTTCTTAATGCATATTTACTTAAGTCTCATAACTGCTTGTACAATAAATAACAAGAGTAAGTTAATTAAAAGATTTACTCGTAGTAAATTTAACTTGATTTTATTTCTATAAATATTTTAGCTATAATAACAATAGGTTTGGATTTTATTACTTGATGAATAAACTTACTACATATTTAATTTTAATTATACATAAATTTTTCCATCTAAAACAGGGCGAGTACAACTTCAAAAATATTACTTTTGATAAAGATACAATTCTTCCAACTATTTTCGGACCATTGGATAAATCGTGGGACTTCAATTCGATCAAATTAAACATAAAGATTTTTAACATCGATCACTTTGTGTTGTTATTTGGTAATGGAAATGCTAAAATCTTGTCTTATAGAAGTAAAAAAAATTAATATCTTAAGATTTTATAAGTACATAGCACAATAAAATATATCTACACTTAATAAAGTAACTAATCTATAAATGTAATCTATTTATAATGTATAATAAAAAATCTTATAATCCGATTAATATGAACTCTTATTGGAACTTTAACCAAATGATTTATGATTTTTTTTCATCTGTTTGCACTAGAGAAATCTGAAGATAGAATTAGCTTATTCCGCAAAATATTGAGTACTGTGATTTTCTAAAAATAGTCATCGTAAACAGTGAAATCCTCCCCCAAATTATTTTAGATTGCAACCAGCACAAACAGGCAGAAAAAATTAAAAACCAAAAATTGACGCTTATCTTTATTTTAATTTTATTCAGTGGCGGCTCGTGGCTTGGACAACGGGACGATCGCATTCCCAACTGAAAATTAATTAACAGAAGAAAATTAATTGTATATTCTTGATTCTGCATTTTTATTAAATGTGCAGATTTTTAAATAGTAAAATAGTAATAACAAATTAGTCGTGTGCGAACATTTAAGTTGTTTCTCTCAGTATATGCGAGTACGCACACACACACACACACAGACAGTGTTTGGACGACCGGCAGCGTCCAACGGTAAAATATTAGTATATTTTTATATTGGTAATTTATTTTTAGAATTAACTACTTGTCGTTATCGGTTGTTATAATAGTATAATCACTAGTATTATTATTTTCATTCCTATTTTCTATTGCGACCTTTAATATAATAATATTTGTATTGTGTTTTATTTTATTATGTTTAATTTGACAATTTTTTATAACTATGACTAGCGATACAATATAAATAAAATCGCATCTCCGCCATCAACACCCACGAACAACCACTGAATTTATTACAAATTAATCTTAGTTTGTAGACACGCTACTGTTTAGCATTACTAACCTAATTTCAAATCCTTAGTGAATAATTGAATAAATAGAAATACCTGATTTGTGTATTACTACAAGACTATGAAAGGCATAATATCTACTAAATTTTTATAAATGTTTATTGTTGGTCAATTAAAATTTGTCTACCGAATGTTTCCAATATTTTTACATATTATATCGTATTGTGTAGTACTCGTGTCGTTGTTAAATAAGTCCTTAGCTTAATACAATTTTAATTTACTAATCTATTATCGAATATATAATGTTCGAATAATCGTCAAAGTAGACATTTAAGTATGAACATTTTATTTTGTTTTAAAACCGACACTTAAAATCGAAACTGAAACCGTAGACATCTCAAACGTTTTCAGAACTTCTGATTGAAAAAAATTGATTTAATAGATAATAAATTCTAAAAATGTATTAAAGTATAAAAATGAAATTAAAACATTAAAAATATTGAGATTATATTATTGATAAACATTCTTTTTATTATTGTACATTTTGTTATATTTCCGTTATTTTTTCGAAGAAGAAGAAAAATTAATAACTTGTAATGCCATTTTCAAGAATTCTTTTTAAATCACTAAGAAACGTTTTTCTAACATTAATGTTAATGCTAAATATACCTTTTATTCATTTGGTGTAATCAGTACTTAAATAATTGTACAATAAATAAATAATTTATTGTTAAATCAGCATTCAAAATGGTGTTCTTTAATTTATGATGTAAACAATTTGAACATGATGTAATAATATTTTGGTAATCATATTATAATTGTAGAAAGTATTTGATCTCATAGTAGAGTTATCGACTAGCAGCTATTAAAACTATAATGTCATTAAAATTTAATATAATGAATTAATATAAAATTTTAATAAAACACAAGTATAAATAATATTAATAAATACTTTATTTATTTTAATATGAATAAGTAAAATATAAATTAATTTATAAAATATTATTAATAAAAATAATTTTTGTATTTTTAATTATTATTTAGAAGTTTTCACAATAAATGGTAAGGATAAATTATTCAAAATATTTTATAGCACATATGTTGCGACATATGATTTTTGGAGTAAATAAATATATTATGAAAGCAAAATAGTATTAAAAAATATTCGTTGGATAAAAAATAAAATATATTTGTCATAAACTTATATATTGAAAAAATGAAACGATTAATATGTTTTTGATTGTACTTAATTGACCTCATTTACAACAGACTTCGTGCATTTAATGCTATTTGGTCCACATTGATGGAGCTGTTAGTACGTCCCCTGATAAAACATTTTCAATAGTGAAAATATATTTTGGTGTTAATTAATACTATTATTTTATAAAAATATTAATCATTTTGATACTAAACAATGAAACTGTCTAAAACTTTTGAAATTTTATTCAACTAATTAATAATTATACTAAAAAACTTACACTTGTTTTTTATAATAGCAAATTTTTTGTATTTACAAATAATACTGTACTTTTTACCAAATTATTAAAATAACAACAAAATTATTGAAAATGTCCTACTCATCACTTTATGCCACTATTAGAAAAGTATTAGTAACGCTAATTAAAATTTTAGTTTTGAGAATTGCTTTATTTATTTCATATTCGTTTTATGTGAATAATATTTTAAGTTTAAATAATAATAAATGTCAATAACAGATGAAATTTCATTTTGAGATGTATAAAATTTATCTCGTAAGTAAATCCACAATTTTGTATTATAACTGGATTGTCTGAAGAAAATACAGAACAAGATTTAAGGTTAAAATATTAAAATATAGTATACCTTTAGATCCTGCATGACGATTAATTGAGCAGTTTAAGAGTTTATTATTATTGACACAAATATTTCATTAATAATTATAAATTAGAAAATAAAAAAAAGATTTTGGAATAAATATTTCTATCGGTGAAAAAGTTTTCTATTAAATTCACAGATATTTTTTTTTTATGACTAAAAAGGATTTGTAATTTGAATTGATTTTTGAAGAGTTTAGCAAGTGTACATGTTACGGCATTTCATTTGTATAGTACAAAAATACATATATCATATATTTATATGTTTTGAATTTTCAAATGAGATAAAACACATAGTAGTCAAAAAAAGTGAAATATTACGACGGTTCTGACAAACCATTGCGGTCATGCCCATGGGGAAATTAACGGCAAATGTCACATGGGTGAGAGATATTACCCATATATTATTATAACTGCTAGAATTATATTTTACTTTTACAAAGGTATGTAAAATTTTTGGATTTTTTTCCATTCGTATCTTTGCAGATTAAAAAAACTGTAGGTAAATGTAACCGTTAAAAGACAAAATTTTATGAAATGTTAGATAATGAAAATTTGGTAGCACCAATTCTTTATAGTTTTCTTAAAATGAACTTTTGTTGCGCATCCATATGGGATACATTTGCACATAATTGAAACTGAATAATGAAAAAGTATTCATGGGCTAATAATTATTTTCTCTTAAATTCAAAAATAACCATTAAAACTGAGTTGTTTTATAATATAATAGATATAAAATAATTATTTAATGTTTATTAAATACCCTTAATGATTACATCATGTGTAAAATATAATTTTAAGTATTATAACAATCTCATGAATTTTACTACGAGAATTTTCAATAAAAAATTGACTAATAATTTTACAATCATTAATTAAAATCATGTATCATTTATAGGCAGAGGTTTATGCAAAGTGACGACACACTAATTGCCTACAGGTAAACGTCGGATAGATGTGGTCGACTAAAAATTATAGTAATGTTATTTACTTGCAGTGGAGAACCCCTTGGCGGTGACCAAGACGCGGTGATCACTTAGAAATGCCCTTTACCGCAATTGTTTTCGCGCCTTCTCTTGTAAACGCGTTTGCGCCGCCGCGGACGTTGGTCATTGCCACAGAAATCTAAAAGGGGAAATAATAATAATAACAATAATATAACTATTACAGTGCACACTGTACACATACAAATAGCGTTTTATTGATTATTGTACAAAACGGTAGACCGTGAAGGGTTGATAAAGTGGTGGCGAATAATATAATTTATTGTAAAAATAATAACTACTATACCTATATATTATTTAATTTTTTTTTATTCGGAATAACATAAAAGTATATACGTCTCTCGCATAATTAATTATACACCATCGTAATATAGATATATTATTTATTATTATTATTTTTTTAATCGGATCCCGTCCATCAATAACAATTGAATTATCACCGACGATTAATTTTAAATAATATTTTTAGGACGCGTTTTATATCCATTTTTCACCCCAATATTTTTTCAACTTTAATGTAATAATTTTCCTCTTTTTTTAATTCCATCGTTCAGCGATTGTTATTTTTGTAACATATATTACATTTTACACCGCATTGTATTTAGTCATAGAAATTAACGACAGATAACAAATAAAAGAGACTTTTTCAAGAAACATTATGCGACCTGTGTCATTTTAGAAAAACTCCAATAGTCTAAAAAAGTTTTATAATACTTCAAGAATAAATAACTATAATCCTAAACGGACTTACAAAGTAAAAAGTACTAGTAAATAGTCTATTTAATCGTTCTCATAGAATAGACTATTCACTGTTGCACTTTCTCAGAGGATTAAAACTTTCAATCTAAATGATAACATAATCTTTGTCTCCGTCACCCTCTAACCCAAGATTCTGTACATACAAGTTCTAAATATATCCATTTATAATTAATTGTACATATTAATATTTTTATTTTACTCCTGAAATGTTTAAAGATAAGCAAAAAATTAAAAGAACTTTGCCTATTTTGAAATCTTCAAGGGGCAAAATAGAAAACTACTTGTTTACCTAATGTATGTCAAGAATATGTTCTGGTGTTATCATTTATCGTTCGGCGTTGGTGAATTCTCTGTGAAAACGGCAATACCTATGCACGGACTTTTATGGTATAAACAAGTAAACATAAAAAATGTAACACATAATATTTTAATATGTGCTTAAATTTCTACAAATAAAATATAAACAATTTAGTAATATTACGAATTTAGAACCACCTAGGGTTTTTTTAAGGTTATTTTGTTTAGATCTAGATCTAAACAAATCTTGCTAGATCTTTATCTAGCAAGTACTACAGGATTAACTAAATAAATAAATGAGATGATTTTTTTTATGTTTCTCAAGTTTTGTTATATAATTTATTGTTATAAATTTAAGTTCATTAAATAATACTGGTCCGCAATTTTCATTCTTCAATAATGTTGACATTTATAAATTCAGAGAATGACTTAAACTTCTTTGAATTTTCAGTTTGAGAAGTTATTAATTAATACGAAATGCGTCATTAACTATATTTTCTTATGTTACTTTGAGAAGTTTAGGACCTCCCTAGGTACCACGTGTTGAATGAAAAATAAAGTGGTTTCAGTTTGTTACATCATCCCCAAGAAAATAATTTTATTAAAACTAAACGTTTTTTTATTTTTGTATTTGTAAAACAACTGAGATATGAAAAAGTAAACCACAGCAATGAAGTATTTTGTTTACTTCAATAATTTTACTCAAATTGAATAAATATATTTATTTTAAAATTCATTGTCACTTTTTCGAAATGTCAGAAAAAGGGGTTTTAAATTTAAAATTTCATAAAATTTGGAAAGAGCAGTTTCCAGGGTTATCACTCCTTAAAAACAATTTTTTTCTTGTAGTAGTAGGGTTGCTTTTGTGACCCTGTTAGTAGTTAAATCTAAAAGAATGCTACCACAGAAAAAAGTTTGTAAATTACTGTTGTAGTCTAATAGATAAATGCATGTATCTATATTTTTAATAGGCATACGTTTGTTAAAATCATATAGGTTATGTTCACTGAATGATTAAAATAAACGGTTATTAACAGCCCAGAGATATTCCCATATGCCATAGTGAAAATGTATGGAGTATTTCAACGGTAAGTTACATATCACAGTGGGTGTTTATTACAGTCTTAAACTTAAATGATAACAAAAGAAAAACCTTATCATAAATAAAAAAATAATTTTTTGAATAAATTTATTGTACGTTGCATTACGAATAAATAACTTCAAAGTTTTAATTTATTAATTATTAATTTCAAATAATTTTTAAGTTTGTACATCTAGAGCAGCAAAAAATTGCCAAGTCATGAAAGTTTGCCCAATGACAATATTTGACATATTAATGGATAATAGATTTTTTTTAATTTTCACTTAAAGTGAAGTTATTGTTGCTAAGGAGTACGCAAATTCAAATACGGAATATATTAATTAATAATTAGACTTTACTAGAAATACAAATTTTTGCTCTTACTATTGCGAACAATAAAAATGAAATTAAAAAAGAATTGAAAGTGATAAATGCTATTAATAGTACATGTATGGGGTAATAACACTGTGTGTTTCAATGTTTGAATAACTTCATTAGTTCTTAAAAATACTAAGAGATTCTATAGAAATAGCTAATTTAAGCGTATTAAAAAGCTTGACGGGGTTCAATGGTAATAGAAGTAGCTCGTGTTATTTTAGCTATACGGACTACGAAAATATTCAATCGTTACTTAATGATGTTCTCACTGTGTTTTATTTTTGTATTTTATAATATAAGTTGTACAAATTATTACTGTACATCCATTGACATCCCCTTATACTTAAAATTAACCATCTTTAATAAGTAGCATATTTTAAAAAGATTTAAAAAATTTAAAAAATTTTTGGAACGAATTTCCTATTGGTGAATTGGGATGTGATATTGATTTTGCGGTGGGACCTAACTCAAAAAATGCGAAAATCTGGCATTTTCTCAAATTTTCTCGAATTACATAGCAGTATTATAATTGCAGCTTTTATGTTAGTATTACCAAGAAGTTAATTTATGATCATTATAAGCTAAAGCCTATAAAAAACCTCTTTTTTGAGGAATAAATGAAAAAATTTGATTCACCTCTTAGTAATTGGAAATCTAAATCCACTTTTATTCAAATGATTTTTTATTTAATTACATAGAGCATAAATTTATACGGTAGTGCTATTTTGAGTTATTTTTTAAATCTCTAAAATAGAGGGGTATGCTTCCTATTTTCAGACGATGTACTGATCAATCCAGTGAGTGTTGTAAATGAAGAAAGAGATTTTATTTGCGAAAAAAAAAAATAAAAAAAACGTTCTTTGTTTTATTTAATATTGTATTCCTTAGACTTTGAGCGACATTTGGTATTAAAAATGGTTAAAATTGAGCTCTTGTTGACTAAAAAATATTGTCACTAAATTTTTGTTATAAATAAAATAAATCGAGTGATTTTAATTCATCTAGATTAAGATTATTAGCAATTTTATAATATCTCTAAAGATCTTAATTTTTGTAAAAAGAAAAATTATACTTTTTAGAAATAATAAAAGTTTATGATACTATTAAAAAAATAAAAAAACAGATCTTTTAATTTTATAACAAAAAATTAATGTAAACTTCATTTTTTGTAATTTAAGATTTTTTTGTAATCTCTTAACTCTTCGAATTTGTGGCCTATATATGTATTATTTGGAGCCGTCCTTAATACAGTTTTAGGAACATTTAATATATATTATCCTCCCCTCAAAAAAAAAAAGTTTTTGTATTATATATTTCCGGAACAAAACGTGTAACGGAATTGAAAACGTTTTCAATTAGTGTAAAACAGTAACTGTCAAGTTTACTAATTTAACTGTAACAAATGAAATTTTAATAGATGGGTTTCATCGGAGTTCTAATAGAATAATGTTTAATCATTCTATGTTAAACGACAAATTTAAAAAAAATCTAAAAGTGTAACATAGCAAATGACAATTTGCAACTAAAGTAGTGAAATCATTTTTTTTTTTTTTTTGACTAATTGTAATAAAATTGAAAACTTTTTAAAAAATCAAATATTTAAATAAACTTTATAAAATAAAATAATCATTAGATAAAAAATCTATTTAAAACCTAGTTAACAAAAAAAAATAAAAAGAATTTTTAGGTTAAAAAAATAATACGAACCTTGCCAAAAAAATCAAAATTGGGCCTTAATTTATGATTTCAAATACACTAAATGAATTGCAGGATTAAAGGGGTTCAGGGAGGGTGGTCTCCGTGGCCGACAGATTTTGAAGTCTTATTCAATTTGACATTTTTTTAAATTTTTGAATTACTTGAATTTTATAAACTAGTGATATTATTTAAATGTGTAATATTGTATATTTATTATGATAAAATATGTGTATTGAGTAATTATTCCGTGAATAATTATTAAAACATGATTCAATTATTTTTAAATGTTGACTATATTAATAGTCCCCATCTATCTTAAATTATTAATTGTCAAAGTCTTTAGATAAAAATATTTTACATGAAACGAAAAAAGTAACCCAAAATGTTAACGATTATATATTTGATAGGTCCTTTCACTGCTAAGAAAATACCTATGTGGTAAGATATCTTCCGGGCCCATATTTGCCTTTTTTCGTTCTCGATTCTTTCATTTTAAATAATCGACAATGACTTTGCTAATTTAATTACTATTTGCTATTTTTCTAGTTCCATTGCACCTACATTTTATAGTCAAAACTATTAGATTGAAATCCGAACGTATTCGTGCATTATTAACTAAAATTTATGATACAACTATCATTATTTATTTAGGACTACTTATTGTGATTTTATGGCGGACGACGTTGTTTTTATAGATAAGACTAGAAGTGGTTTTACAAAACTTTTATTAATAGCTCTGTGATCGGCAAACGCTTAGGTTTTTCACGCATACGCTTTTGATCAGTTTTACGTTTTGTCGTCTCCGCTTTACTTCGAAAATATATTTAATTAGAATTTTAGAGTATAAAATATATACGTAAAAAAATTTTTAAATTTATTGTTTTTTTTTTCTCGTAACGTGCAACGTTTTACTATCAACAGCTGTCAAAGTTATCGAGATAGATTTTTTGTTTACTAAGCTCAAAGAAAGTGAACACTGCTCTTAATACGTTTTATTCGGTGCAGTGTTGTTTAAATATTTTTCCAATTAAAATACAAGTGTACCGTTTTCCCGACCGGAAGCAAACAAACATGGCCGACGCCGAGTGCATCGATTTACTAGAAAAGGTATTTTTTAATTCTATGTTTTCTCTTAATGCTGTTTAATGCAATAACTATGTGGTTCTAATTAATTAACTTTTAATATTAAAGTTGCAACTAGTTCTACAGTTTAGCATGCATAACTTTTAAACCAAATTTTATGAAAATATACTTTTTTTACTATTCTAAATCAGAAGTGGAGTAAACAAATGAGATAACTATAATTGCATTTATAATATAAAATGTACGTATTATTACTTAGAAGTAATAATTGTACCCTGTAAAGATTAAAATTATTTAATAGAAAGTTAAATGTAGATTGATAAAGTGAGTATATAGTGATTTCCCCTTTAAGCGGCGTATTAAAGGCTTAAGCGCCCCGGGGCAGTTTGTATTTGATGGCCCCTGGATATTTTTGTTTAACAAAAAAAAAATTGTTTAGGTTACCTCGAAAAAAATGATTGACTTAAACAACTTAGAATATGCATTAATGCAAGGACATGTATTATAAATAACATTATATACTTTTTAGTACAGCATTTGGGTCTCTTACAATCAAATAAAATCCTTTATTTATAGGAGATTCTTGAGAATACATACCTATCCGATCATTTAGCTTCTCAGTCTCTCTCATCTAAAATTATCTTTTCTATGTTTATTTACAAATATCCAACCCCACTCTGTCTTATGAACTTTATAGTTGTTAATTTTAATATTTCAAAATCAATGAAAAATTATATTGTCCATAAAACACTTTTTAATAATAGCCTAGTTCAAACGTCAACGTCGTCTAAGACTAAGCCTACAGAAAATATGGACCCAAAAATGATGGAAGTTGTTATACAGAGTGATAATTTAACTTACACAATATCTTTAAAAATATAACACATCATATCATTTTTTCTTTTCAGATATTAATAGTATTCTAGGTTTTATAATTTCCTAATGTGGTCCTATCCACCTTAAAAGTTTATTAACTTTAGTTTTTTAAATGGTAACATGTTTACTCGCCAATAACTTATGGACTAGTAGTAATAAGATATTAGAATTATTATATAATAGTGGGAGGAGTTTAATATATTAAACTTTAATGTACAATTTCTATTTACTTGTATTTATAGTGTTATTAAATTGATATTTTTATCAAATTTATGATATTATAATTTTAATATTTTATTGAACATATGGATTAATATATGACCGGTATAGTTAAAAATATTTCCTTTATTTCTATACCTAATACTATTTGGTACAAGTTATATTTACGATGGGTTCTAGTGTAACACAATTCACCACCTCCCAAAAAATCAACAATAAATATATACAATATTCAATTTCTTACTGTAATGAGATATGTTTTAATAACTTCTGGTTCATCAGTTAATTTTCGTATTGTTTTAGGAGAGGATTTCCAAAGAGTTAAAAAATCGTTTGTTTGAGTGGCGAGAAATTGTTGTAATTTTATATTCGTTAATGGCATGGGAAAAAATATGGTTTCCAATGGTAACAGTAGCATATATTTCAATATTTTATATGTAAGTAACAATAATTTGTGAATTATAAGGAATATGGTTAATTTAGAGTATAAGCTTTACAGCATTAAAATTAAGAACATACTGATGTCTTGTGTACCTATTAAACAAATAATTAATTAATTTAAACCTAAAAAACTATAATTGATTATTTGTGACTAATGAATTAAAAATATATAAGATAAACCCAACTCCACAAAAAGAATTTTGAAAACAATATTTATCAGCGCTAAACAACTACAAATCAAAAACCTACAAAAGTATTTGTTTGACATTGAAAATTTTGATGAAATACGCGTAACCGCTGATTTTTTAAAATGTTTTTGGTGATTTTAAGTCTATTTTATTTATTTTTAGTTAGTGTACGCATAACCATAACGTATTAAAACGTCTTAAAATTGAAAGTTTTATCAATTCAATAGCTTTGATCTTAATCCATCAAGTATTGGTTTGATAAAAAAATTATTTACAAAATAATTTGTTTATTTGTTTTATGTAATTTTATAAAAAAATATTTTATAAATATAAATTTAGTACATATTTTATGGAAAGTTTACTTTATTTTATAAAGTTTGTTTAAAGAATTGATTTTTTATAAGTTTTCATTTTTATTACAGACAAAATAATAGTAAAAATGTAACGATTATGTCGCTCATACACGAATAAGGCCCTCAAAATCTGAAGGCCGCAGAGACCACCCTCCCTGAACCCCTTTAATCCGGCAATTCATATAATGTATTCGAAATCATAAGGCTTTTAAATGTCGATTACACTGAAATGTATTAAAGCCCAGTTTTTAATTTTTTAGCGTATTATTTTTTAAACCTCAAAACTTTTTTTTTTGTCAACTAGATTTTTTATTCGATGATTATTTATTTATTTATTGTTAAAGTAATGCCTATATGGGCAATGAGTACAGTTAATCTACATTATATAAAAACAATATTTAAGTATATGTGTATAATAAGATAAACATATTACTAAGACCTTAAAACAGAAAAAAAAATATATAAATAAGCAAATTTTAAGTATCATTTCGATATAAAATAATATTTAAAGTTTCATTTTCTTTAACATGGCTAAATTATGGCGATGGAAATCAAAGGCAGGTAAAAAATTACAAAACAGTAACATACGATTTAGTGGTGAGTTATGACTATAATTATGTTTTTGTGTAGGTAAATAGAAAAAGGAAGACTCTCTGAAATTAGTAGCAGAACTATTTTTATATTATTATTATCTAATCTATAATTACATATCGAGTAACTCTTTTTGCGAGTGAAAGTGATTTGTGAACATTTACTAGCATTAATAAATAGTTTATTTTATTGGCACCAATTAAAAAATCTTATCAAATCAGTCTGAACTTTAACACAATCTGTAACAATTGACAAATAAAAGTTTAGGTCACCTACAAACAATAGATATTTACAGTGTTGAAAACAGGAATTTACTTCATTCATAAATAGGATGAATTGGTGAGGTGACAGGTGTCCTCCTTGGGGAACGTTTAAGACCGCAGACGTATACTTTCCGATTTTGACTTGTTATTTTCTATTAACTAAGTAAGATAAGAATCATGATTGCATTTGTCCACTAACCCCTAGATATGTTAATTTTTTAATTAAAATATGATGATCAAAGGCTTTTCTAAGGTCAATATAAACCGCATCAACGCGGCCACCTAAACTAATATTTGACACTATGTCTGTATAATTGAACAGTAAATTTGTAATTGTAGATTTCGCTAAATGAAAGCCATGCTGATTATCGTCTGAAATTAGCTTAAAAACAATATAAAGTTTGGGTTCTAATAATTTTTCTAATAATTTAGGAAGTGCTCAATTTAGAGATAGGTCGGTAATTACAAATATTTTGTCTTTGGCCAGATTTAAATATAGGATATACATAACTATATTTCCATAAATTAGGAAAGACACCAGAGGAAAGAGATAATGAAAACAGATAGTGTACAAGATGGGTTAGGGCATATTTACATTTTTTAAACACAATTTCCGAGATTTTATCTGGACAAACACTAGTACTTAAACTTAATTGAGTGAGATCCTCAAATACTTCGGTGATAGAAACACAGCAAGTTGTCAAACAGATATTACTATTGTTCAATTCAAAAATTCTGGACTGAGCCGCAGTATTAGATGAATAGCTAGAAGAAAAATATTACCAAACTTTTTCGTCATAACACTTAGGTCATTTGAAGGGGCATTTTTATATTGTAATATTATCGGAAGCGTATTAATATTTTTGCAGTTTTTCACATATTTCCAGAATTGTTTCGGATTAGTGAATAATTTATTTTGTATACTTAATCGTTTGCATTGCGTCCTAGAATTAGAAAATTAATTGTACACTTCTATAGAAGCTGTTTGTTTGAATTGCTTATGAAGTTTTTTTTTCTTTTTTATTAAGAGTTTCAGCTCTTTAGAAAACCAAGTAGGATAATGAGTGGTTATTAGGAAATACTTTAGGTACAATTGAATCAATTATTTTTAAAATTTTTTTAAAGCAAGATTAATAGCAACTTGTTTATATAAATTAGACCAGTTAATATTGTTTAGAGCTCTTGATATAGTATTGTAATCGGCACGAAAATAATCATAATACCAATCATTTTATTTCAAATTATTTACCTAATTAGATATATTATTAACACTAATCCATATTGGTGAGTGATTTTGGGACTTAATAATCATTAGATCTAGTGACCATTGAATTATTATTACTTACAAAAACAAGATTAAGTATTTTACCAAATTTATTTGGAGTTGGATTGACTTGATATAAATTTAAATCAGTAAATGAATCGAAAATTTATTCAATTCCCGGCAAATTTGATCTAGTATGAATAAGACCTAATTTATCATTTTTGAAAATAACTCCAGGCAGATTATAGTCCCTGGTTAGAATAAAAGTTGTGTTAGAATTAGAGTATAACGATAACAATGACTCAACAACTTCAAGATGTGCAGCATGAACACTTACTAGACTATTTGTAACACGTCTTCTTCTTCTTCTTCTTCTTCTTCCTCGCCTTAATCCCAACTACTTGGGGTCAGCCAACCTTATCTTAAACTTCTACTTAACACGATCTTCCACTTCATTTACGCTCACATCACCCGTCCTCATATTGCATTCAATAACATCCCTCATATCTATTTTGGTTTTGTTCTACCTCTTCTTCCTTGAACATTTATTTCTATAACTGTTCTTGAAGCTTCCGATTCCTCTATCCTCATAACATGACCAAACATCCAAGTCTATTTTCTCTCATCTTATCCACGATTGAGGCTACGCCTATACTCCCTCTTATACCCTCGTTCCTTATTCTATCTTTTCTAGTCACTCGTCAATACCACCGCTCTTTTGCACAACTAATCCAAAATACTTAAAACTTTTCACCTCTCCAATCATGTCCTCACCTATTGTCACTGATCTCCTCATTTCATCGACCTCGTGTTTTCATTTGTCAAACTCGTACTCTATATACTCTGTCTTACTCCTACTTATTCTTAAACCCTTTTCTTTAAGAGCTAATCTCCACACCTCTAGCCTTTGATTAATTTTCTCCCTATTTTCTCTTATTAACACTATATCGTCAGCAAACAACATGTACCATGGTACCTCTCCTTGTATTTCTCTAGTAATTTCATCCATCACTATAGAAAATAAGTAGGGGACTTAAAGCAGAACCTTGGTGCACTCCTACTCTTACCCGAAAACCTTCTATTTATATTTAATATTTTACAAAATATTGATACCGGTCTAAGATATTAAATGTATAAATTCGCTGCATAATATCTCATGTATTCTCGCAAATTAAGTGGATAGGTACGGTGTTCAAGCTGCGGTTCGTCGCAAGTGCTACAACCACAATGGCGTAATTACATTGTATCATGATTTTGTGTATTAAATAAATGTATTATTGATATAAATGTTAAGTATTACAATATTAAATGTTATAATTGATATAAATATGTATATCAGTGTAATTTGTGTAATGGGACTATTAATGTCATAGTGATACCAGTCGTGACTGTTCCTATGCGGTGTAGTCACGTACGTGACAGATTTTGTACAGTTGTCCAGTAGCAATTGCGCTACGGACACCAGATTTTACAAATAATATTATGAATTACGGCAGCAACGAGACACCTTGATCGTTTACATTAATTCTCATAAATTCCTGGTACTAGATTTTGATAAAACACAAAATTACTGATCTAAAATATTGTGTAACTCGTTGCCCAATACTTTATGAACTTGGTTGGGTTAAATTGATTTCCTCTATTCGACATGCTATTAAACGTTTTTACCATGACTCGAATACAATAATAATTTTTAATTGAATTGTCTTATAAAACACACACTCAGGTATATATGGTTAATGAACTGTTCAACACTAAACTTAATTTGGACGACTGGGCTGGTACTCACGTTGATGGACTTTTTCGTCTCTGGTCCACTTCAAAGATTACTACCGCCAAGCAGTTGGGATCAAGACAAAGAACGCGTATACTCATTGGTTTGCGGATCCGTAACCGACTATTATGTGACATTCAGGCTATATGCAGAACGGTTTTTTAAGCTTAGGCAGACCAACACAAGATTGGTAATTCAATATTGTGCTAAAAAATGATCAAATCGTATTATTTGTTCTTATTATAATTTTTAGTTTCACTCTGTCTTGGCTGTGACGTTTTTCAGTCTATTGTATGTTGGGATAACGTTTAATAATTTGTTAGTGTCATATGTTACAGGTACAATTGTTTATTTTTAACATTTATAAAACATCAGATGTGTATAGTAGCGTATTTATATAGGAAGGGGCATGGGGACACGCACCCCCCACTGTCATGTCTATGTAAATGTAAATATAATTTTTTATCTTTTTGGTGTTAATTTGAGAAAATTCGTTATTATCTAAGTTAAAAAAGGTCGTCAAAAGTTTACACGATAATTAAGAAAAGAAAACAATTGCCACCCCCTCCTATTACAATAGTGCTATATAAGATTCAGCCACAATAACCCTCCTTTGAGCTTAGGTGCAATTTAGATAACATTTTTACAGGGTCTTATTATATCTAACTTCTTCCTCTTAATAATTTATTTTAAATAATTGTATATATAGTGTTTCTAAAATTTTGTAGGGCCTAAATCCCTTTAAGTCTTCTCAATTTGCACCTAAACTCTTAAAAAGCAGTAGATTATATAGTTGTATTGAAAATTGAAAACATTATGACCAAACTTAAAATAAGCAATATTGTTCTTTAGTTTTAGCCATTTTATTGTTTCCTGGTTTCAAAATGAGGTCAGAATACATCGAAGATTTACTACAGAAATATTTACATTCAGTTTTGTCAAGATTTTGGCCAAATAATGATATTATGACGTCTTCGTAGAATTACACTTCCGCTTTTGTATGACAATAGGTTATTTTTACATTTTATTTTTGAAAAATCAACGATCAGTGAAATTACAATGTTTAAGTATGAATTGTGGTGTGTTACGTGCGCATCATAAGCAGTGCTCACCACATTTCACAATACATTTTTCTCATGTTTTTTAGCACAGTGTTGTTTAACTTCAAAAATTAAACGCAATATTTTATAATTCTACATAAATATCCCTATTATATACTTTTGTTATCAGTGTATTTAAAAGTAACAGTTGATACAAACGTGTCAACATGCAATTTCTCATTCTGTTTGAAATTGTTAACAACACGCTGAACAATTTAAAGACTATTGTAGTGATATCATATCAAATTTCAAATTGATTATTTACACTAGTGTATTTTATACAATGGTTTCTGTTATTATATATGTTAAATTATTTAAATAATGTAAAAACTCCATAACACATAAGGCATTTTTGAAATTCAATGTACATAAAATTAACGTGAAGCCTTTGTGTAATAAATTTAGTATGCTATGTTAACCATTTATTTTCATTAATTTATTAGTTATTTTATTCCAAAAATATATTTTAATTTAGTAAAAAAAACCATTAATATTTTAAAATTAAGGTTGATCATGAATAATGAGAACAAGTTCTGTGTATAATATTTATTATTATTTAATGCAAATAATAATAACAATAATAAATTCAATAATGACTTTAAAATACATTATAAATGTAATAACAGATGATATTTATAACTATAAATGTTAATAAATAATTGTAACACTATATAAAAAAAGTAGTTTTTTTAATTAATGATATTAAATTTAAAAGTATAAATAATAAATTTTAAAATAATTTCACTAACCTAATATAAATACAGTACAAATATTAAATTAAATAAAAAATAACTAAGATAATCGTTCAAGTGGAATACATTTTTTTTTAAATATCACATTAAGTTAACACTGATTGGTGGTATAAATAATTAATAAATTTAAAATTATTTTTGTACAATATTATTAAATTAATTTAAAAATAAAGGTATTTAGGTATTAATGAGATATGTTCATAAATATAGGTAAATAATAATTGATTTATATAATTTAGATAACCTACATTAACTATAAACATATAATCTAAAATAAAAACCAGTATATTAAAATTTATGTGATTAATACTTTTATCTATAGTTTTATTTAGCTGTAAAAAACAAATATATTTAAAATAATAGAAATATGGTTAAATTATATAGTCAAAGGTTTTAATAATGAAAATTAATTGTATACATTTTACACATTTATAATGTATATGGAATAATAATACTCGCAAAATAAATAATAAAACTACTTAGATGACTTTTTCTTTTCCTAAATAAAAAATAATAATAATTAAATCAATATGCACATGAAATAACTTAAAATTTATATATAGTAATACCACACACTCTAAAACATATATACTTTTTTTCAATTATAGAATCAATAGTTGTACAGTACTTAAAATTGTACATTATAATTAATGTCAATTTATAAATTTAACAATATTTTAATGTGAAATAATCAACCTAGCAGAAAAAGACTGAAACTTTTTAAATTGAATGATTTATATTTTGAAGTAAACTCAAAAATTTAATATCACAAATATTAAATCTATTATATATTTAAAAACTTATTTTATAAAACTTTTGTTTCTATTTAACAAAATTTAACTTCTAAAAACAAATAAATACAAAAAATATGAAATTAAATAAGTTAAATTTGATCAAGATATCTAGCTTTAATTTAAAATGTATAGAAATAAATTATTAAAAACATTAAAATATGTTAAGTAAAATTAGATTATAAAATGTTCATTTTGTTAGTTATACGCATATCAGGGCTCTGTATGATCCAGGCTGACTCAGCTCAAACCCATAACTGGTTCAGGACTAGACAGGTATAAAATCTATATTATTGATCAGGATCGGACCAGATTTTAAAAAAAATTGTCTAGGTTAGGCCAGTGGGTATAAAAATTTAGATGGCCTGGGTTGTAAACTAACAAGTGTCTAGTGAATGATTAACTAGATAACGCCAAATTCCTATGTGTATAAACATGCTAAATTGCAATAGACTCAAAAATTATAAAAATACAAATTTAATGTAACTGAGCTATCATAGTTAGATACAAAAAAAATTAAAAGCAATTTAACAATGTACTTATGTAATTCATATTCAATATTTTTTGGGTATTTTAATAAATTAAATATAATATAACAAATTTTTTTATGATAAAATGATATTTTTAGCAATAAAACCTTGTAAATATTTTGTTATTGATTATTATGACATCTGCAGTTTATTCGTATTTTCTATTTTTATTGTTATATATGGTGAAAATTCTGATGGGCTGGGTCCAGAATGGACCAAAATTTTGTTAACAGATCAATAGACTGGACAGACTTCAAAATGAATGCCTACACAGAGCTCTGATGCATATATACTGTTTAACTTTTTCAAACCTTCATAATTATCACCAAAATTTTATTGATCAAATATTTTATAGTTTCTTTTATTTAAATTAGATTTTAAATTTAACTAACTAGATAACTTACTCCTTTCATTTTTAGTTGACTATTGAGATCATCAATATGTTTACGCTCTAACATAACAGTTTCATTTAAACTGGCTAAATGTTCAGTTAATGCTCTCAGTTGGGTTTCATAACTAGTAGAAGTTAATTGAAACTCCTCTTTAAGTTCTTGAACATGTTCTAATGCATCTTGTAATTTCACTTCTAAATTGTTTCTTATGTGTATACTGTGATTCAGCTTGGTACTCAATGCTGAAATCTAAACAAGATATATAAGCAACATAAAAATCATTAAATATTTTTAAAATAAATACTTCTATTTTTTGCAAATTATTTTGACTCATTAATTCTTTATTTTTATGAACAAGTTGGTTTATTTTTTTTTCAAAAAAATTTTTGATTTCATTTTCTCTGGCTATGACTTCATCAGATAATTGAATACTTGATTCAAGTTTCCCCAACTAAGTGAAATATTAAACATTAGATTAGGTAAATAAACATATTATAAAAATTATATTGACTCTGTATTTTTTTTATAAATAACTAAATGCACATTAATGACTATTTAATGTTAAAATTAAAAAGTAAGAAATAAGATTAATTTAAAATGATTTTTAAATAAATAACATTACGTATAAGTATTAAGTAAAAGAGTAAGATATTAGTTGAAAAAGTGACTTAACGCTATAAATTTAGATAAGATGAGAAGACAGCACAAAAACTTAAAAAAAAAAAAGTTTTTTTTTATATTTCTAGTAATCAAAACTATAAAAAGAAATAAGTGTAAAGTACCCCAAAAAATCAAAAAGTATTAGTAATTTTTATTATTTTTTAATCATAATTCGAATATTCTTTTTAACTAATGGCATAGTATTGTTAAGTTATCAAAATTTAAAAACAATGATGAAACATAAATCTTTAACTTGTTTAAAGCTCAGGCAAATTAAACATTGGCCAAACTTAATTAATTGTACTTTTAAATGTTATTATTATTATTTTTTATGTAAATATCTTTTTAACCATTATGGAAGGGCTTAGGTTTCAGAGTGAATTTATATTTAAAAAAAGTCTGACAATCAAAATTTATTTTATTAAGATCTCATCTAATTGTCAATAATTAAATCAATGTCAACAATTTCTCCAGAAGGCATACCTGAAGTAGAATATTTTAAAATTATGTAAAATATATTTACTATAAAATATATTACATTTTTTTTTCTTTAATTTAAGTATTTAAACAATTACATAAAAAAAAAATTAGGGATTAATTATGGGTATGAGTATTTTCATCATAAGAAAATTTTTGGCCGCCATTCTATCTACACAATTTTGGAATAAAAATTTAATAACAAAAGTCCTCTCCTTTAATACTTAATTTTTACAACCTCTCATACTGATAATTTTTGATATTTGTTTAGCTTTATTTGATAAATTTAGTGAATTTAATTTTAAAATGCTGCATTTTATAATTACAAATTATCTAATGAAAAATATAATAAAGAAGTATATGACTTTACAAATAATTTTAACATTAACTAGTAAATTTACTTGATTTGCAATGGTAAATAAACCAGTAGATCCAATTTGTTGAATGTTATTTTCTACCTACAAACAAAATGTTTACGTTTAATTAAATAAAAATAATATTTAGTACAATTAAAAACTAACAAATTTGTTTTTTCTGCTTTGTAAATTATATTCAGCCTCCCAATGAATTTTTTCTTGTTCAAACCGCTTTGACAATGCCACTTCTTCATTTAACTTGTCATTATAAATACGTAAAGCTTTTTCAAAACATTCATTGGCAATAAAAGGAGAATTTAAATCCTTTTTAGCCTAAAATATTAATTGATGTATATTAAAAATAATCTTTTTAAAGGTTTTAATTACCTTTGTTGATTCATTGACACACACTAAAGAATTTTTTATATGCCAATGGACATCAATTTGGCATTTTTTGTAGAAGTATTCAAATTCCATAATGTTTATTGCATGAAGTAACTATAAGAAATAAATTATAATTATAGATATTATAATTTTAGATTAAATAAAAATAAAACTATATCTATTTATATATATACAGATTTAGTTAAAAAATGTAGAAAAAAAAATATTAGCAAACAATTTGAACTGGATCAAAAGTTATTTAAGTTGTAAGTGAGTGCTGGGCTACTCTGTATATACTGTATCATATATTTGTAAATATTCTAAATAAAACTTAGTCTGAATTGAAAAAAAATATATATTATTAGTTAATTTATCATTAAAAGATCAAAAGTGAATTTACATGGTAGGAAAATTATATTTACTATATGACTAATGTTGAAAACATCATTTAACATTTGGTCAATAATTTTCGAGTCCCAGTTTTCAACATCCAAAACTAGTTCTAAAAAAAAAATTTTCTCAGTATTCTTAACAATAAATAAAAAGAAACAATTTACCTCTGACTGGAAACTTTAGCACCATTAATGATATCACACATTGTCTTAGTGGACAGCAACTAAGAATCTCATTAGAGTTATCTAAATATAAATTCATATTTCAAGTTATAATTTTGTTAGTATATCTTTATACAATTTTTTTTATACCTGACTTAATTAAATCTTTGACAAACTTAACAAAATCTGAATATTGAACCGAAATGAATGTAAAGATATTTTTCAAAAGAATATATTTTTCATTTAATCTAAAATAAATATGTAAGTTATAATTAATAACTAAACTAAGCAATTAAATTAACAATAAGCAAGTCATATTAATATTTAAATATATCAACTTTTAATTTCATACTTTATATTGTTCAGATTGGTACAATAGACTGTGATTTTATCCAAAATTAAATAATCAGTAATAGGTAAGAGAGAAAATGATTTAATGGTTTGTGATAAAGTTTTTGTAGCCTGGAAATTTAAAATTGTTAACATACATCATTTAATATTCTTATCTTTAAAAATATAACACTTCTATTAGATTATTATTATTGATCTTATAAATTTTTTTTTTTAACTTGAATTAATAAAGTTTTCTTCCTTCTTTTAATAAACAAAACAAGCAGATAATTAGTTAGGATTAAAACTTAATAAAATAAAATACTAAAAATCATTAATCACTTCAATATCAATATCTTTTAGAATATATTCTATGAGTTTATGAAGATCTTCCATAAAAGAACGAAAGAAGTGCAGTACTAAAGAAACAAATACTTCTTGCCATCTATTATCATCAAGCTTATAATCTTTTTCAAGGCAATCTAAAAATTAATTACATTATTTATTATTAATTTTTATATAATAATATAATTATATTTATTATAGAAAATAAATTATTAAAAAAACAAACTAACAATGGTAAGGATAATTAAGTTTTGCATCATTAGCATTTACTTTAGTTCTAGATTCTAGACAATGATACAACAAATTATACAAACAAACATTTACAGAATTTTTTAATAACAAAAATTCGTAATCAAAAATACTATTATTTTTGCTTGGGTTTTTGCTATGTATATTTTTACAATTTGTGATTTCTGACATAATCATCTATAAACATATGTAATTTATTAATAAGTTCTTAAAATTACAGAAGAATTAAATCTCACATTATAATCAAGTAATTCTGACTTAGTTATTTCAAGTACCCTTTGTATATGACTATTTATATTTTCAATATCTTGTTTTAAAATAAGTAGATCTTTTTGTTTGGCTTCTTCTCCTTTGAACTAAAAAGCATTATAATTATTACAATATTTAACATGAATAGAACCCAAAAACAAAAAAATAATTACTAAGTGAATACTCATTTTTTTCATTTGTTGGCAATAGTACTAACTTTCCTATTTTAACTTAAACAAATACAATTATGATAGATACATCATTCAATCAACAAAAGCAAAATGAACTCTAATTTCCTTATTTATATCCTTATTATAAGTTTTATGATATATAAATGTAATATATGAATAAATATTTAATAAATAAATTTAAATTTATTAAATATTTAATAAATTTGTTCAACTTCGGCAGCCATTTGCATATAAAAGATAGGTTATCAGGACAAATTTATTTTTTAAACTTATAGTATTTAACATAAGCTTTAATTTAAAATAAATTTAAAAGATGCAGTAATAAAAGTTACCGCCTCAACTCTCTTATGCTAGTCTACATATTATTTGAAATATTAATCCTAAATAGATTAGGCTCTACTGTTGATAAAAAACTCATTAAAGAACAAGTGGGCTTCAGATCAGGAAAATTATGCATAGACCAAAACTTAACACAATTTATAAAAACTAGTACTATCATACTATATGCTTGAAATTAAAAAATACTAAAATCACTCTATTATACAAGATCTCATAATTACTTTTGGACTATTGTTGAATTTTTTATAATCATCTTGAAAATCTAAACTGTTGGTTGATATTGTATCATACTTGCTACCTTCCAGCTGAAAAATATAAGAGGCCATCGATAATTTTTCAAAATAATTATTGGTCAAACCTTTAAATAATACAGCTACACAAAAATACAAAACTTTTGTAGGTCAGTCCATGTTTACTATAAGTGTTTTGAAATAACTGAATATGAAGTTCAAAAAGTCCTAGCATGTCAGTGTTTGATATAGCCTATAAAAACCCTACCCAACTAAACACGTAGATTAAATGAATAAATTTCATTAGTTTCTTTAATAGTTAAAACCTTGACATGCTGAAGTTAGTTAGACCTCTTATACGGATCAGCGACTCCAAAAACATATAGTAATCATGGTTTGACCTTCAGACACAATTTTTTTTTTACGTGGTTGGATAATAAATAATTGAAATCCAATGTTACTTGATCAAGTGAATCCATACTTCTTTGATCACATCTGGATATTTTAGAGGTATATGCTTTTTTTAAAACATTTAACTGCATTCTAGTCTAAATAAAATTAAAATAAATTAAAATTTAAAATTTGTTAAACTAGATTACAATAAAAGAGGATAAATTCAAATCATTTTGATATAAGTCATTTAAATTATTTACAAAAATAGTGATATTAATGAGAATGGATAAATTTAAAAAAGATACTTCTAATTATTGTACACCTNATAAAATTAAAATAAATTAAAATTTAAAATTTGTTAAACTAGATTACAATAAAAGAGGATAAATTCAAATCATTTTGATATAAAAAGTCATTTAAATTATTTACAAAAATAGTGATATTAATGATATTAATGAGAATGGATAAATTTAAAAAAGATACTTCTAATTATTGTACACCTATGATTTGTTATTTGATTAAACTTTTCAAAACTGATTTTTTTAAATATATAGAATATAGTCACGAAGATTTGACAAATTTAATAGCTGTTGTTTGTTGAGTAAATAATTAATGAAGGTAGGAAACGATTGTACCATTGTATGTGCATTCCGCTTGTGTTACATACCTACTCTATTTATTAAAATATTTGTAACTCAATAATTACTTATCCTTAAGTTGTTATCGAATCATCAAAATTTTTCTTAATATAAGGGCTAAAAATGGCTATTTTTAAATTTAAAAAAAAAGTGTTATTTTAAATTTTATTTTAATAAGAAAGAAATAATAAAAAATATGCTTTAAATGTAGTCTAAAAATACAAAAAATGTTTAAAAAATTATAGCGAAATGATTATTGGATCAACAGTTACCAAATTTATCATATCTTTGTGGCTCACTCTTTATAATTAATTGATATGAAAAATCAGAATTTGAAAGGAGTAGATTAAATTGTATGTAAAAATAGATAGACAAAAATTCTTTAATATTTCTTTATCATAAAAAAAATATTAATTTATTACAATTATAAAATTAATAGTCAACAAGAATTTTTAACTTAACATTATTATCAAATTTTAATATATTTATTTTTTATTTTTACATATATTACATTTCAACTATTATAAATACTAAAATAGACTCATTAAAATAATAATATTTCCATTCTGGAGAAAGAAAAGAATAGAATAAATAACTATAATAGATTAAGACTGGCAAATGATATATCAGAGTATAAATAATATGAATAGCTAATGAATTAACTAACACTATTATATTTTTATAGAATACAGGAGAATTAAAAAGATAATATATGAAGCTACCTAAATATTTATCATTATGAAAAGAACAAAAATGAGAAGAATTATAAGATCAAAAATAAGCATGGGTTGGTAATAAATTGTGATTAATTCTAAGATGACAATATTTAATTATAAAATTTCTATTAAGATATAAATTGTAGAACCAGAGACATATTCTGTACCACTTTTGGCAAAGTTTGAAGGTAATGCAGACCATTTACATTATCAAGCAATTAAAGGAAGTTTATAGAAAGAACATAGAAATAATTAAAAGGAATAGAATTAATTAATGGTAGTAATAAATTAGATGAGGAAGTGTCAAGGAAGTCTGCTATTTCATTTCTCAAAATACTTACATAAGCAGAAATCCAAAGAAAAACAAAATATTTTTTGAGTGAATCAATAACAGAGATGAAAGATCTGATTTTAAAAATAATAGGAGAGGATTTGGTTGAAAAGACTTAAAATATATAGCTAAAAGACATGATTAAGAATCCGAGAAAATTATGGCTGTAAAAGAGAATCAAAAAGAACAAATTAATACTGAAATTGAAAACAGAAAAAGAGTAACCAACTGAATCAGTAAATACTGAACCGTCAGTATAAACTAAACATTCATTAAAAAAGTTGGAATAAACATATAAGAAAAAGATATTTTTAGTAGATATCTCTAATGTTGTCAAGTGGAAACCCTAAAAAATTGAAGGATATGGAAATGGACATTAAAAGTGATTGAAAAGTGCAGTCATATAAAAGAAGTCTTATATGGTATTTATAAATATATGGAGGGATAAAAGAAAGAGAGGAACAAAAGAGTTATTTAAGAGCATAAAACCATATTAAATTCATAATAGAAATGATGTAATAGATATTAGAATAAGAGGATAAAATAAAATCATTTTTACATCTTTCTACTTCCCAAACTTAACATACTACAGAATGTGGTTGGCTTTCTTTCACATGTTAAGGAGTCAAAGATGATTCTTGGTAAGATCAATTATTAGATTGAGAGGATGATGATAATAATATTAGTACTAAATAATACATTCTAAATTTTTAAGAAGAATTATTTAGAAAATTTTAGTGTTTGTTTATTAAATTTCTAGTAATCAATATTTATAAAAATAGTTTATAATCATAGTTAGTGTATAGTAAAATAGTTAAGTGATAATAGTGATTAATTTTGTAATACATAGTATTTCTATGAGGTACACAATATAATTTATGGTATTTAACGATTCAATAACAATGAATTAATCTATTAAAAAAGCATCTGATTAAGTGTTAAATTTACTTTTGCAAATTCCATGGCTAATTTATCATACTTCTGTTGCAGTTCTACGTGTGATCTATCAGTTTTTATTGAATCAGTATCAGACATTTTATTGTCTACAAAATACAGAAAGAGTGAAATTGAATTACTAAATAGCAACATAAATCTATAATAAACAAGCTATTATGTATTATAAATATACTTACATTATGATTTATACTCCACTATATTAACTTAAAAACTGATTGTTCAGTAAATAAAGTAAAAGTAGACAAAAATAAATTAACTAAATCTGAACGAAAACTAAAAATAAATATTGTATATTTGTTTATAGAATAATAACAAAAGCGATTATTTATAACGTTAGTCATTTGCCTAATACTAACACATCATTCAAATTATGTACAATGAACCAAATATCCACTATCATTAAGCGCTTATCATTATTTATCGGCATATTTGACGTTATAAAAATAATATATGTTTACACATATATCGTTAAATAAGAACAACTGCTTTTCTTTAAGCACTAGTAACACTTGAGATGTATAATGAAACATTTTAAATCTGTAACACTAACAAAGATGGGAAGTTTAGTTCTCTTCCAAAAGTTTCTAAATATCTTTGTGTATTTTCATCTAGTTACCAGTATTACACACCTGGTCCATATTTCCCGTTAGGCACAGTAAGTAATCGTAAAATAAAATAAACACAAAAGAAAATCACTATAAAATCTCAACAATTTTTCAAATATGGCAAATTAAACTTATCTTCTCGTAAAAAAATCGGTTTTCTCTGAATTTGTTTAATAAACAGTTCAAATGAATAAAAATATCTTAATATATTTTATCAAATTATGTATTATTTTAATTTCAATAGAAGCGGAAAACGATTTAACATTTTTTGTAAAAATTATAATAGTTTATCTCAAAATACATAATTGTTCATCAATAATTGTGAAATTATTAAGTAAATTTCTTGTTAACTCCATTTAAATATGCATAAGTTACTCCACTTCTAGCACGTGCTTTATTATTTTTTACCCTGAATACACGTTACTCAGCAACAATCATCACAACATACCGCAAAGCGTTAACTGAAATGTTGATATTTGCTAGAATTTATCGTTAAGCACTACTCAGCCATATTTATTAGTGAATGAGTTAATTTTAATAGAGTTTTTAGCATGTAAATGAAATTAATTTTTCCTGTTGAAATAAATCTTAAATCAATATGTCTTTAAATCGAAACTCCACGTGGATTGATGTTGACATCAACCCTCCAGTATTCTTACAAACATACAATTGTTTCACAACTCTTGTGGACGTTCACGGTGATAAGGATAATAAATTTGTTGTTATTGACTTTGGATCTGGCACGACAAATCCTCAACTAAAAGTACTCTTATTCTTACAATTAATCAAATCACGTGTCCTGATTATCACAAATGACAAATGATTAAATATTTTCTCTACTTCTTATAATTTATATAACAGAAAAATAATTTTTAGGTATTCAAAGGAATTAATCAAACGCATGTCGTCTTTTTCTATGACAAACCTTCAGCTATTTTAGCTGTTTATATAGATAACAAAGAGCATCATGTGCCATGTAAGTTTTATGAATAACTATTTTCAAACTAACAATTTTATTTATCGTCACCGTTTAATGAATAAGTAACCGTATTTTGTTTCTATATTCTTAAAATGCTTCAAAAGGTTTGTAAACTTTTTAATTAATGAATTAACTTAAAATTCGCCATCATAGGCATAAATCAAAAAAGCTTGAAATCTATATATATATATATATATATAACTTGCCGATCCTACTAAAAAATGTAATCAAATTATATGGGTACCTATAATGGTAAAAAAAATTTTCAGGAAAGAAAAATAAATTTATCCCCTTATAAATATTTTTAATTTACATCTGTGTATAATATCTTCTTCCTCTTCCTCGTCTTAACCTGTGTTCAGTATAGTTCAAAAATTACTATAAACATAAAGTAATGATTTTTAGATTCCCAAGGGACCTTTCAATTCTTTATTTAAACGATAAATTAATTAACTTGATGTAAATTACGGGTCGGGTGTTTTACTTGACACTCAAATAATAGACTAAAGACAATTTATTAGATTTTAACTAAGGACATGATTCTATTACGCATATACAAATCAAACAATTACATATAGTAAGAACAGTAACATAAAGAAATGAATAACATCACCCAGCCATCTGACACCGCCGCGTGATATTGCAATCCTTTGAATGCTTCACATCAAAGCCTTCTCGTCCGACGTTAACAATCGCGTATCACGATTATTTCTGAGGTGTCAGTATGCACTGACCGAAAAATAGAGAAACATCATTGACGTGTGAACGATTAGAATACCACCCCCAAATCTGAAGTGATTATTCAATAAAATATACGTTTGGTATGTACAGGCCGACATAAAACCAACAAAAACTATGCCAAATCGCGAGTCGTCAGACTCGACGATACGACACAGCTCCAAACACGTACACGTACGTATTGACATAGGTGCTGATAGTGCTGGACACGACTACTATGACTGTCGTAGGTAAAGAAGGGGGTGGGGGATAATAAGCTTCGTGGAGCTTGACCGGGTTACATACGTGACTTTTCAAAAATTACCACAACTTTGTTCTTGAGGGCTTCAGGCAAAAATAAAGATCTCATTAAAAATTGTTTTGCTTTGTTCTTACACAAAAAATTAACGACAAACCAAAAAAATAGGTGATTTACTACAAAAATCCTATAATCGCAATTAATAGCTCTTAATCTAAGCTGTGAGGCCATTCTATAAGGTAGTTCTCCGGTTGCATTAAATGCAACTCGCTGCCGAAATAATTGTTTTATGACATTTTGAGTTCAACAGTTATATTAATACATATATTAGATTACCATTTATATTTCAAATTATAGGCATAGCAGTAGCGATCAAAAATGAAATATATTTTTACCGTAACTGTAAACCTTATTATAAGTATTCAATTCAACCAGCGCTTGTAAACAATGAAGACGAGAGTAAAATATGGCGGGATGCTGAAAAATCATCAGAACTTCTGAGTAATTTGCAAGCACTTGCCACATCAATTGGGTTTGCCAAATTGTCTACGACATCGCAACAATTGTTATGCTGTCATGAGAATCAAATAGAGAATTTTTTTAATAATCACAAAAAACAAAAGCTCGTTAAACAGGTTCGAGCAAAATATTTAATCAAACGTTTATGGGTGTTTATACCTATAGGCACTACATATATATATTAAGTTCAAATAAATATTGTAAATTATTTATGTACTTTTATGTTATATGTTAAGCATAATATTTCTTGTATTACTGAATTGAAAAGAAGAATGAATGAGGTATTTGGAGTAAGCTGTATTGTAATAGCCACTACAGATACGATTAGCATATTAGATACAGAGTCTTTTAAAATGTTGCCAGATAAATACGAAGTAAGAACCATAATACAGAGTTTAAATCTAAAAATTATATGAATCTTGAAATCAAAAAACTTTATTGAAGTGTTAAACTATTTTTGATTTTACCTTGTCCTCCCATAATTGGTTAACTTAATTAAATAATCTTGTTGTTACATCAAAAACGACATGAAAACGAAAAAAAACGTTAACTACACATTACATTTTTTATTTAAAGTTAAATTCTTTTTATTTATGATTAAAATATAACAATACGTAGAATCAAAATGAATCTATTAGTTTCAGGGCGATGCAGTATATTTAGCTGCTAACGGAATATACGACGTTGACTACAAAATACTAGTGGCTACTAGAACAGGCCGAGTGTACATTTTTTCAAAATCTTCGACTAGTGGGTATAAAGTAGAAATGACTCACGCAATAGTAGCTATAATATTACGGATAGACAAATTTATTTGCTGTACTTTAGACGGTGTACTTCAATGCTATTCGTTAAAAGTGAATAAATAAATAACAACCAATATATTTAGATATTCAACCCTTAAGTTGTAAAAATATTATGAATTTATTTCACGACTGAATATAAATCTCATTTATAGTGCATTTCGTTGTGGAACATTAAACTTCCAGGAGATCCAACTGCAATGGTGAACATGTACGTGCAGAGTTTATCTTTAGAATTGACAGTTGTAGCGTGTAGAGTAATTAATACGAGTGGTCATACAAAGGGGTCGATACTATTATACTCTGGAACAATAGTAGTGCATAAAATAACGATGCCTGATCCAATATACTGCATGAATTTTGGAAAATTAGGCCAAGAAGAAAATGCCCTATTAATGATTTCTTCTAGTAAGTATCCACGATAAAATAAAATCAACTATGAACATTTTCAAAGTTTCAGAAGTTAGTTTGGCTTAAAATAATCAATTAAAAAAAAATTGCAACACATTTTCAAGTAACATCTAAATCATTTCACTTGACCACATTATATTAGTTTTCGCTAACAATAAAATTTAAAAAAATAAAAACAATCAATTTGGAATTTTTTAAAGCATTATTATTTTTTTAAACATGTAATACAGAGGCGTAGTTAATAAGAGACTACAGCTTCTTGAGCTCTTATTGGAAAATTTTCACTATATATAGTATATAACCCGGCACTAGTAAGAGCATGTTTTAAGTTAAAAACGAAAAAAAGGTTCTCACATCTCCAAACAAAAATATTGGCTACGCAACTGATTGGAAAATTCACGTGAAAATGTTAATTTCATAGATATTAATTCACTTCCGCTAGTAATGATAGAATATTTAAAATAATGAAACATTAAAAAAAAAATCATTTATAGAAGGTAAATTAGATGTGAAATTATTGAAGCGAACGGCTACATTCGATTTATGTTTTCGGTCGACCAATATAACGGAACCTTCGAGAAATTTGGATATACCAAAGAGGAGCAATATTTTTATAGAGCAAACACTTCGTGAAAGAGAATGTTTCCACGGTTAGAATTCACTAATTTTTTCGTTTATTTATTAATATTTCAAATAGTTTTGATTTGAATGATAATGCAATTTTTCAACAGAAATACATGTCAGAACTCAGCAAGCGTGGCAAAGGTTTCAAATTACTATTTTAAATGAACGAATGAACTCGATCAAACAAAAAATCACAAATAAATTATTACATACATCAGCTCAAGTAAGATACATTAACTGATAATATAAACATATTTATAGGATAGATTGTAATTTATTGAAAAATAATCACTTTTCAAAACATCATTCACACGAAATGATAAAACCAGAAAATAATTTCAGGAACACATTACCTTTTTTTTTTTTGCATCAAACATTTTTTAATCTGAATTGCTATTTAAAAAAACTTTAATAATCAAAAAAGAGGCTATCATGATAAAAAAATTCAAATATTGTCAATCATTTTCGACAGTGGGAATCGCAACATCTTAACAAGGTTAACTATTTCTAAAGAAATAGACAATATAGAGAGAAAAAAAATTCTCATGTGCATGAAAACAAACGGGACTTATTTTGTAGTAGTTCTTGTAATTTTATTGGTAAATTATCATGAGAAACTCTACACAACTAATGAAAATTATAAAACTTATGCAAGTATAAATTTTATAGTTATTGATGAAATTTAAATGAAATAATTAAATATTTGACATATTAACGAGTAGAATAATAATTAAATTTATTATTTAAATTTTATTAGCTTTTAGGATTAGGACCTCGTTTCAAGATAAAGTTTATTTTAAAAAATCTTGGAGATAAATATTTAAGTGGTGTCTTTGTTGCATTTTTGTTTAACCCTCAGTTTTATACAATAGAGACTGCTTGTTGTAAGGTTAGTTATTTTATTCGATATTGGTAGTTAACTGTATTCAACAATTAAAATTAACAAATGAGTTTGAATCTTTATTTTGATGTAAATTATACATTTTAATTAACGAAAAATATAAAATAAAAATAATTTCTTAGTTATTATTAACAACAATTTAAAATACCTTCTCAGCTTTGCATAGAATCTAAAAATAAATCAGACAAAGTATTATTTTGAACACTCTCTCCAAAAAGCTAATTTTAAAAACTAGCTTTTTGATAAACTTTTATCGTTATTTTTACTATTTTTCTAATCTTTTTGAATTTATTAACTGTTCAAATAATGTCCTTTAATTTGATTTTAAGTAAGATTTCTTATTAAAAAAAAATTACCCTTGTCATATAGTTACCAATTATTATTCCGGACAAGGAAGTATCCTGCGAAACCTTTGTTACATGTTTAATGCACGGTAGCATTGAAGAAAGAGTGATCAATATTGTAGTTAATCAAGAAACAAACATTTTATACAGAGCAAAGTTAAACCTACCAATTTGTAAGCTTATATTTTATCACATTATATTCATAGGAGGTAGTAATTTTATCTCTAGATTTATATTCATTTTTATTAATAATATTATTCTATATTTTTTAACTTAAAATTAAAAATCAAAAATTAAATGTAGAATAAATATTGACAATTGTATTATTTCAAAAAATTAAATCAAAATCTCTGTTAAACTTAAAAAAAATTTTTTAATTAATTATTAATTTGGTTTACTAACTTCTCAAAGAACTACAATTCACATTAAAAAATATATTGCTTTTAATTGTAAGCAGTGGCAGCTCATGGTTTGGACGACGGGACGATCGCACCCCTACTAATATTAATTAAAAGAAAATTATTAATTAATTAATTGGAATATGTCCAAAGGAAATATCTTATTAACAAACGTCAACCTTATACCCAATACATTTTACTATGATCTCTTTTTGAATTTTCCTGATTTTAATAATTAAATTTTTAATATATGTTCTTTACACTGATTCTGATATAATATTTTTCCTGCAAAACACTTATCATGCCCGGCATAGCCGAGTACTCCAACCGGAATCAATAACCTACTTACGATTATGGCCCAAAGAAGCTTATGCGCCAAAGGATCTCTATCTAGGCAAAGTCTAGTATTAGTATATTACTATAGTGGTTGATTTATTTTTCAAATTAACTCCGTGTACGCTCGTCGTTATCGGTAGCTATAATAATATAATCGCTTATTATTATTTTAATATCTATTTTCTAATGCGATCTTTAAAATAATAACACGTGAATTCTGTTTTATTTTATTATATTTAATATAATAAATTTTTATACTAGTGGTATTATATTTATAGTCTCATTCCCACTACCAGCACCTACTAGCGGCCACTGATTGTAAGGGATACTCCATCATAATGAAAACATTATTGCCATAATTTTTTTAATTTAACTAATTTAAGATTAAAATAAAGGATTTATTAATTTTCTATAACATTGGTTTCAGATGATCTACAAAATAATACCATTGAAAACACGGTATGTAATGAGAATAGCTTTTAACCATTTAATAATCAACATAGCAGTTAGACTTTAATTTAAAAGTGGAACCTAGTTTTCACAAGTATACTAAATTTTAAAATAAATAAGGAAAATAATATTATATTTTATAATTTATTATATGTAATTTTATTTAAAAAAATATTATTATTATTTTTTTTTTTATTCACACATTTATATATATTAGAGATGTTCAAACCTTTTCCTGTAGATAGGGGATAGAAATACTTCCACGGCCCCTCTACCAGTTTTAAGAGGCGACTAATGAGGTTGCGTCAGGTCGACAGTCGGCGTAAAATTTTTGTCAAATACTATGAGGTATCTTGAAAAAAACTTAGGTGAATTATCCCATCTCAGATGTACGCGGGGATAACAAGTGAGAGAGAATATAGTAGTTAAAAACGGAGAACGCCTTAGGAATAAAGTGTTTGATACGAGTCGGACAACTTGTGCGGTAGCTGTTTCACCAGTCATATGTACAGGTCTACCCAACGCTTGTAGTGTCAACGGTGTAGGGACATCACCACTTAATTCTAAGCTGGACTCGTGTATAAGGGAAAAAGATATATACAAAGTAAGAATAGGCACTTGGAATGTTGGAACATTAACGGGTAGAAGTATTGAAGAAGAGAAAAGTTAATATTTGTTGTGTGCAGGAAAGTGGAAAGGAGAGAAATGGAGGGAAATAGGTGAGGGTTATAAAATAATATACTCGAGTAAGTCTAATACAAAGAATGGTGTAGGGATAATAATGGATGAGGAGATAAAAAGTAAAGTAGTAAAAGTAGCTAGGAAAAGTGACAGAATTATAGTCGTAAAATTGATATTCTAGGAAAAATTGCTGAATGTAATAAGTGCCTATGCACCATAAGTAGGATGTGATAAAATAGATAAGGAAGTGTTTTGGTGAGAGATGGTTGAGGTGATGCAAGGAATACCTGGTAATGAGGATACGATGATAGGTGGAGATATGAATGGAAATGTAGGTAATGAGAGGAGAGGATATGAAAAAGTACATGGGGAGTATGATTTTATTAGGAAGAATGAGACTGAAGAAAAAATCTTGGATTTCACAGTATCGTATGATCTTGCTGTGGTTAATACTTATTTTAGAAAGAGTGAAGAACATTATATAACTTATAATAGTGGGAGGAATAGATCACAGATTGATTATTTTATGTGGAATAGAAAGAGCGTAAAGCGAGTAAAAGATTGTAAAGTTATACCAGGCGAGAGTGTAACTACACAACATAGACTGATGGTAATGGAGTTGTAGTGTACCGTAAAGAGAATACACAAAAATAGAAGAAACACGAGAGAAAAATCGAAGATCCGATGATAGAAGTTGAAAGGGGAAAATGAAAAAGAGTTTGTAAAAACGGTAAAAAAAAAAAACGACGTGGAATATCGAGGAAGACATAAATTATATGTGAAATAGATTTGCTAGTTGTGTAAAGAATACTGCAAAGGAGATTGTTGGTGAAAGTAGGAATAGAATGTCAGGTAAAAAAGAAACCTGTTGGTGGGATGAGGATGTTTAAAAAATTATAGACAGTAAGAAAAAGCAATTAAAAAAATGGCAGAAGAGCATGAGAGCATTGGAGAGGTGGAAAGTTTTAAGTATTTAGGATCAGTTTTGCAAAAGAGCGGTGGTATTGACGAGGATGTAAGATACAGGATTAAATGCAAGTGGTTGAAGTGAAGAGTAGCGTCTGGTGTCTTATGCGATAAAAGAATTCCAATGAGGCTGAAAGGTAAATTCTACAAGACTGTAGTGAGACCAGCTATGATGCATAGTTTTAGAGTGTTGGGCGGTTAATAAGAAAGTAGAGCAGAAAATGAGTGTAGCAGGGATGAGAATGCTTAGATGAATGAGTAGAGTGACTAGAGAAGATAGGATAAGAAATGAGCATATAAAAAGGAGTATAGGTGTAGCGTCAATCGTGGATAAGATGAGAGAAAATAGACTTAGATGGTTTGGTCACGTTATGAGGAGTGAGGAATCGGAAGCTGCAAGAACAGTTATAGAAATAAATGATAAAGGAAGAAGAGGTAGAACAAAACCAAAATATATATGAGGGACGTTATTGAATGCAATATGAGGACGGGTGATGTGAGCGTAAATGAAGTGGGAGATCGTGTTAAGTAGAAGTTTAAGATAAGGTTGGCTGACCCCAAGTAGTTGGGATTAAGGCGAGGAAGAAGAAGAAGAAGAGAGATGTTCGAACTGTTCGACTTTCAAATCGAACCGAACTTTTTCCTTGAAAATCGAACTAGAATAATCAAATATCTATTTGATTTGAATTTGTTGAGAAGCAATATAAAAAATGTTTTATCTAAAAATTATTAAAATTGATGTTCTCTTCGAATTTGATTAAATATTGGGATTGTTCAAATTCAATTTTAAAATTGAAAGTTTGGTTCGATCATAATAGCTCAATTCATAATAAAATGTATAGATTTAATTTTTTATAATTATCCATAAACATCTATGTTACAAGACTTAATATACCTCGGTTAGCTGAGATAACAATAATAATAATAATATGATATTTTTATACCGGTTTATAATTAAAAATTATTTAAGTTTTGAATAATAAGCTTACTTATAATTTTAATTACAAAAGAGTAAATCTGATTAGATTAATTCTGAATCAATTAAGGATATACATTATTTTTAAATAAAAATAACAATTTTTAAATGATTTAAGGAGGAGGAAATTCACGTAAACACTTATTTAACAAAACCTTAATTGCATGTTTTCGCTACTAAAATACTGAATTATTATTTAATTTATTATATAAAAGAGACATTAAGCAAATAGATAAATAAAAATTAAGGACAAAAGAGTACAATATAAGGTAGATAAATTATTTTGAGATAATATATAATTACTATGTACCTTCTTACTAAAAACATATTTATGATATTATATTTTAATATAAATTTAAACTCTATAAATTTTGTGAAAAAATCGTTTTATTATTGTATTTACAATAAATATAATATCTTATTTTATGGTAAAAAATCGATTAAGACAATGAGTTGTGGGAACATTGCTCCTTTTAGTAGTCATACTTTACTAAACCATACAAGTGTTAAAAAAAAACTAGTTTAAAATAAAAAATAAATTAAGTAACATTTAAAATTGTTACAAAAATTAAAAATATACATAACATAATAAAATATATTACCAGTTATCTTAATTCGTAAATAATTAATTTTAATTAGGAATTTGACATATTGTATTGTGTATTGGCATAGCTGCAAATCCAGCTAGAGTGATTCCTAGACAATCAGATAAAGATGTTATCGACATTGCAAATTCTTGCTTTTCTTTGGGAACCTACAATTAATTGTTTATAATTAAAGCATTTATAAATTCAACATTAAATAATAAGAACACTGAGATGATAGTTTTTAAACTACATAATACCTTTTTTGCAATATTATGATATGTATTAACGTATCCTGAACCTCCTAGTAAACCTTCATAAGCAATGAGTGCAAAAATTATGTAAATGCTTGGCGTAAATGAATACAACGATTGAAATAAAAAGAATATAAAATTGATTGCCTGAAAAAAATAATTGATAACTTAAATGAAAATGAAATAATTAATTGATAACTTAAATGAAAATGAAATAATTGTAATAATGTTCAAGTATTTAATAAGTTTTATTTTACAATCATAATAAAATAAATTCTTAGCATTGCAAAAATGGATTTCATATTTATAAGATATTTTACTTGTAACAACGCCAATATCCAAAGTTTTTCAATCGGAAAAAAACTTACAGTTGATCGAGATATAAAAACTCCGACTTGATAAAGTACTTGATACCATCTGTATTGTTCATTGTGTGAAAATGAAATGTTTTTGAAGTATATCAATTCAAACTATAACAAGAAAATATATTAAAAAATGTAAAAATAATTCGTTGAATCTATCGAGAAAAAAAACTATACTAACTAATCCTTGATTGATAAGATATTCAAAGAAATATACAAGACATAACGGAATCATGAAATTAGCCAATGATGGTATGTATGATAATTTTTCAGCCAACTTGTTTGTTATGCTAGAGTTAGTAAGCGATTCTCTTGAATCATTATTAATAATTTTAACTTCGTCAGTGTTAGGGTGTTCCAACACTACCCAAAAGCTATGACACAAAATATATTACAATTTTCGAAAAAAAACGACTTAATTATAACTGTTTTTTTGGAAGAAACAATAATTTTCTAGTCACATTAGAGAGGCTTCATATTTAAGAGACAAGTCAAATTTTTGTTAATTTTAGTACTTTAAAAAATACTGTTAACTTTTTGTCTTAATCAAAATTATAATTTTTTTCAAATAAGTATGCCCCATCCTAAAAAAACAGTTCAAGAAAGTCTCTTAGTCGATTTTAAAATGAATTATGCTTACGTTACTGCCATCACAATGGGAACAATTAACATTAAGTACATGGTTATGGTAGGAGATAAACCAAAGAAGCTGGTTAATGTGACATAAGTCAATGAACCCAATATTCCTGCTCCTCCAGTTCCCGATGACCAAGCAGTTATTGTACTTCTAAAAAATGTACAAAAATAACAAACTTGACAGCAAAAATTATATCTCAACACATTTTTAATTTTAGCTTAGCTAACTGTATATACTTAAAAAAAATTACCGATCAAAGTAGCTCATGTAAGCTAATAGAGTAGGCTCGCCTAAACCTGAGGACATGGATGTTAATGCTACGCCAATTGTGGCCATTAATTCGGATTTAGCGTTAGCTACGATAAAAAAACTGGCAAACGTTAATGTAATACAAAAGACCATTCTTCGACTGTTCAAAACAATGATTTTTATATAATATATATTATTCCACAAAGTAAAAAAGAATTTTAAAGAAAGCAGGACTATTGAATAATACTCACTTAATATATAAAGCTAAAAATGGGGATATAGTCTTAATCAAAAGACCAGGTATGATATCAGCCAAGAGAATTACCCCAGTTGAAAGACGATTACATTCACGAACATATCCATCAAAATACTTTGTAGAATTGCTTGTCTTTAAAACATGAATATTAAATTAGTTAATATTTGATCAATTATAGATAAGAAAAAAATAATCGAATTAACCGATTTTTTTCAAGGAAGAAAAATGATGTGTATATTTTTTATTATTAAACAATTATTAAATAATTTTTATTGTAACATTAGTGTAATACCAATATAGTATATACGAAGTGATCGGTTTATCATAAACCACTCGATTACTCGCAAAATAAATACAATATTGGAAAAATAATTTTTGATTTCTTTCATATAATTCTTAATTTATCTTATCTATTAATTCCTTTTTAGAATCATCCCTTATAACTTAAAAGGGTTTAAACATAATTATTTGAAATTGCAACATACATATTTATCTGGCTCATAAAATAGGAAATAATCTAATTAAGAAAATGACTAGTCGTTAACATATCAGCACAAATTATTTTAAAAAATGATAAAAACACAAAAAACGGTGATTTTTTATGCGAAATAACATTTTTTTTAACTTATACTATGTAATTTATACTTTAATTTAACATATTTATGCTCGGAGTACTTCTAACACATTTTCGAAACTTAAAAAGTTCTAATAATTATACGTATGATTCAAGTTTTAAACATCCCTTTGTAAAGAGAAATAGACTTTTTAAAATAAATTTTAAAAAAAGTATGTTGGACCAAAGGAGTGTATAAAATATATTAAGTATATAAGTATTAAAAAAATTGTAATAATTCAAGCATTTTTCAAAAAGTTATAGCTATTTAAAGTTGAAAATATAGAATATATTAACAATTTTAACACAAAAATAATGTCGTTACAACATTTTTTTTTAACTTAAAGGTTAAAAATAACTTATGTTTAAATGACACAGTATTACAGAACATTTTCAAAAGTAAAGTTGATAAAGTTGACTTTCTATTCAAAATCGCTATTTTTAAACCCTCCTAAGTACAGGAAAGGGGTCAGATTTTCAAAAGTATCTTAGGTATCTATAATTTTTTTTTTTGCTTAATATAGACTATTCAAGTCCTTCGCCGCAACCACCACTTCCCTCCATCTGTCTCTATCCGTGGCTAGCTCTTCGCCATTCAGGATCCCAGTATATCCAAGTCTTTATGGATCCTATCTATCCATCTTTGTCTTGGGCGGCCGAGTGGTCTTTTGCTCTTCGGTTTCCAGCAGGTGACTTGGCCGATTGTCTGTTTTTGACCTCGCCATACATACCCTGCCCGGCATATCCTTTTACTTTTCATAGTAGCTATTGTGTCTGAATCCTCTAACATACTTATTATCTCTTCATTCTTTCTTCGCTCATATTCTCCCGTGTTTTTATTTCTTCTTGTTCCAAAAATTTGTCGTAACATCTTTCTCTCAAACCTTGCTAGGTTTTACTCGTCTGTTTTTATTGTGACCCAGATTTCACACGCATATTACGCTATCGGGCGTATCATTACTTTGTATAGAGTTAGTTAAGATCTGATTGAAACTAGTTTAGATTTTAATATTGTCTTTAATCCGAAGAAGCACTTATTAGCTGAGTTTATTCTGTTTTGTATTTCATTATGGTTATTGCCCGACACGCTCAATTCCACCCCTAGATATTTAAAATTTTCGATCAACTCGAATTCCATCTCTCTTACTAACAAATTATTATGTCTATTATTCTTACGTGACAGTGTCATGTAATTTGTTTTTTCTTCATTTATAGTTAACCCCATTTGTTTACTTTTATCTATGAGAGCTTCTGCCATACCCTTAAGATTGCTCACAGATTCGGACAGTAATACTATGTCATCAGCGTATGCTATTCATTTGATAGTCTTCGATTCTTGTAGTTTGTATTTATAATAAACAATTTATTTTGATTGACCCGTTTTTAAAAGCCTTATGGCAGTTTTAAATAAAAAAGTTTTAAAAATGTCGAATTTTATCGATTTTAAAAGCCGTAATTTTTTTGTGATTCCCCCCATTTACAGGAAATGAGAACATTTTTTTAAATTTTTGAGAATAATGTCCTAAACTAGTTAAGATTTTTGATCTTTTAACATATGGATAAAAAAAAATATTTCAGCGAGAAAATGTAGTGACGGATACACAAAAAAATAAAGAATACATCATTGTCAATTTAATACCTTCTAAGCTTCGTATCAAAGCTAATAAATCCATGTCATTAACTTTCCTTTAATTTAATAACAAAAAAAAATTAAATTCTTGAGCTTAATTTAAAAAATCTTAACTTAATTATTTTTGATGACGGGAATGATTTAAAGTATGAATTTTTAATATTTCAAATAACATAATAGTGTATTTTGACTATGCACTACAATGTTATTTGATTGAAACTTAATATTCAACAAGCAGCACACCACGACATTATTTCATTTACTTAACTAGTATTTATTAATATTTTACATTCTTAATTGTATAGGTGTTTACACCCATACACTTATTATTTGGTTTTTTTAACCGAATAGTAACAATTCAAATCGTTCATCATTTGCCTGATCTAACAAAAGAAAGACAATATTGGACAATTTATCATGAAGTAACTATAGTAACATTATCTATACTTTATCATTGAACATTAATTTTATACCTCCTAATTTTTCAATGAGAAGTTAATTGATCAGAATAATTTTATCTTTCATCGAAATCTATACACTCGTACATTAGTTGACATTGAATTTGTTAACAGAGTATTTAATATTTATTTAACAAAACTATGAAATTAATGAAAAAATAATCACTTTAAATCACTCTGAATTACACGACTTGCTTTTTATGAATGTTTGGAAATATAAATCATTTAAAATATTTGTTAAACAGGTTTTTTTTAGCTAAAAATATTGATTAAAGCTATCATCTAAGTAAACATATNAATCACTCTGAATTACACGACTTGCTTTTTATGAATGTTTGGAAATATAAATCATTTAAAATATTTGTTAAACAGGTTTTTTTAGCTAAAAATATTGATTAAAGCTATCATCTAAGTAAACATATGCGTTGTATACTTATATATAGAGTATTAAGTAAAGAAACGAGCTCTATTGTTTGTAACAAGTGATCTGTTTTCTTACTTTTTGAACACTCGGTATGCGAAATATATACAAATTCATAAACACATAAAAAATAACTTACTTCGTTACCGGAATGTGATAGCGTATCGAGTATATCATGAGCACTACTCAACATAACCACATACCCAAAATTGTTGCAAAGTCCGAGCAAGAAAAACGAGACCAATGTTACCATTCTCCGTTTCGTTAGATTTTTCTCTTGATCAGTAAGCGTGTCCATTATTGTAGAATAAATAAAATTTTAATTAAAATGTAGTTTTGATGCTAACAATTATCTCGAAATTCCTGACCTAAAACTGACATACACACAACATTATTAAACAATTATATTTTAAGCGAATAATTGTATTTGACAATGAAATAATTGAAATAATTTATAGTAAAATATTTTCACAGAAAATCGTTTGGCATTATTATATTGCCTCCTTAGACTTGTTACATATTTAAAAAACACATGAAGCGAACAACAGGTTAAAATTTTTTTTGTAAAATTCAATACACGTTTAACTTGACCTATATGCAATAAATAGACAGTTGTATTAATAGTAATATTTAATTTTTTTATATTTTCAATGACACCTAAATGATAATACTTCCAATTTAAATAAACTTAAACATAGTTTTCATTTGGTAATGCAATAGGTAAAATGACAATGGCATTTACAAGACAAAAAAGGAGTAGTCGATCACTTCCCACAACATAATATTTTGCATAATGTTAATATAATTTTTATGTAAAAGAATAAAATAATTTTTTTATAAAAGTCTATCCTAAAAAAACTATTTAACGCTATAAGTATATTTCTACACGCATGTATTTATTTTAATAAATTATTTAATAATAAACTCTGTAGTTTGGTTTTAGAAAGACTAATCTACAATAATTATAAAAAAAATTCTATTTTCAAATAATTATCGTAGAAAAACTAACAAGGATGGAAATATCATTTGAGTTACCTCGTAAATAAATCTTACATTCTACTAAAAGAAACTTAAATTATGTTGCTAACGTACTTAAGAATTCCATAGTAGTTATTTGAAAATAGCAATTTTTTTATTACATTTTTGAAAATTGGTAATTCTAGACCCAAGGTACAGAATTATATATTTATGTTAAAAATTAGACTTTTTATTATTAAAATATTATTGCTTTTTTATTTTAATATAGGGTATGTTAACGAAGTAACTCGATAAAAAATAAAATGTAAGAAATATATATAGTATTTATAATTTGTTAATATTTTCAATAAATACATTAACAATCGTAACAACTAATAAAAATTACAAATATCACTATGATTTTTAAATTATTACTTTAAATGATATAAAATATTGAATGAAATATCTAATATTTTCAATGAAATAATTTTCAAATCAATATATTTATAATCATAATAAAATGATTTTAAATTATATAATAAAACTACAATACTTTTATGGTTATAGATGATATATGTTGTGTCAGTTACGATCATTTTTTTAATACAAGCATTCTATGAAAATATTAATAGTTTCATTCATAATTACTTCTATTTATTGTTTTTTAAGAAAATAATATATATATATGTATATATATTTAACACATTTTAAATAAACGCACCACTAACTATTTCTATCGTACTAAATCTCAACTTTTAGAATACTCAAGTAATATACAGAATCAAGTCATCAAAGCTCAGCTACAACAAATCAAATACTTAAATAAAATTCCATACTTATAGCTTAGTATTAAGTGTTCCTTTACGCAGCAAATTAATCAGTATTAGGTTGTATTGCATTATCAAGGCTAGTTAAAATTAAACGTTAACAATACAAGTACTGTTTTCCCCTCTTACCAATAAATAAAAAATATTAGAAGAGACAACATAAAAAAATTTAAAAAACAAAATATAATGTCTTTTACCTACACCGTACGTAGCTTTTTCTTAATTTTAACCGAAATTGACAATAGAATTCAAGAGCAATATCTAAAAAAAAAGTAAATTTTTTTTGCAAGTAATAAGCATTAATTTTTGTCCATCAATGTATTTAAAAAAAAATTACATTATTTATAAAATAAAAAGGTAAGTACAGTCTAAATTCAGAGATGTTGACATGAGGCAATTTTTTTTCTAGTTTATTATTATTACTGTGACTGAGGGGAATATTTCAAAATTATGGCGCTGATAACACCAACTAAATACAATTTGTAATCATTGACTGGCGTCTTGTTGAACAAAATCGGTCTAGTAGGAGATGATAAATTTATGTCTAATAAAAAAAAAACATGGCAGAGTAAAACCAATATCTTATCAAATACGCAATAAAGCAAAAAACTGAATCAAATATTTTTCCAATACAAAATATTCTATTTTAAAATATCTAGGCACTTAGAAATATTTAAATATATTTTGTTTGACCTGCTTTTTACAAATAATATTCTAAATATATGTAATTAAAGATCTCACTGTAACTGAAGTTATACTAAAAAGAATAATCTTGTTTATGTACAAATATGCAAGTAGTAAAACAAATAGGGCTTTCTTTCTGAACATTTTGTTTCGTAAGACATTTCTGGTTGTCGTATTGGGCTTTTCAATTAGTTCTCATTAATAGATTTTTAGTAAGTCTTTTTAAAACAAATCAATATGTCGATAAAAAATAATTTAATAAACAAAAATAAATATATAGAGTAATATAAACTTAATTGAATAATATTCTAGTTCTAGGCAATTTTTTAAAATCTTTAATCTTAATTGTTTCTTTTTATTGGAAAATCTTTGATAGTACAAAAAAAAACGGTAGCACAGTGGGGTCGCGGCATAGTAGAGACATTGCATAGTAGGGTCCAGTATAGATTTAATCTGACAGTGATTAAAATCACTATCATAAGAAACGCTTCGATGCAAATCTGTAGATAGTGTTTAATTTTAAAAAATTGATGGATAATTGCAAAAGCAACATCAACTTCTATTAAAATAAAATACAAAACCCATAATTATCATACAAAAATAGTATATTTTTCAATATGGTAGCCATTTGCG